ATACCATATTAGATTAATTGTAATGATGCATTTTAACATGCTTCACCTCCGAGGTAATTTTCCGCTGCAATACACAAACTTCCCCATTTACTATCAGAGTGTTATAGTTCCTCATGACAGGATTTGTTGCTGTGCAGTGAGAAGGAAAGATGAGATGAGCTGCACATGTAGGCTGAGAAGTGAGATACAGGTGATCAGCAACAGGAGACAGTGATCAGTGATCAGTGATCACACTTTTTTACAGAAATCTGCTGATTATGATCAGTGGCTGATCAATCAACTGACCTCTAATTAATTCATAAATATCATGTTAGGAAGGTCTAAGAACAGAAATATATGCACTTATTTTAAAGAACAAACTTTGGGATTAACTGGACTGTACAACTTTGCAAACAGCAGCCCATTAAAACATTAGGATTCTTTCACCTTGTGCTTAATGTACCTAGGAAACCAAACCATCTACTGATATTTACTGATTATTTATCAGTACATTGTTTCCTAGTCTGCTGCTAGAAGGTGATGAGTAAAAGAGACAGACTCTCATATGTGTCTATTCATGATGTTACATGTTGAAGCAGCAGAAATTCACTTCTTTCTATTGAAACTGTCACTGAATTAATGCAGTTTATTGTAGATTTTAATATTTCTCTTGCCAGTGTCCTTGTAGTTCAGTTCTTCAAGTCTTGAGTCCCAACTATAGAATAAACCAGTTCAAAATAAAGATATCATAAAGTTTAGAAAAATATGACCTATTCTTCAATCAGTCCAAGAAGAATATTGTTGACTGGAAAGTAACAAAAACATTTGATGGATTATTAACAGATTTTCCTCCCTGTCTCCTCAGACTGAGTGGCTGTAACCTCTCAGAGAGAAGCTGTGAAGCTCTGTCCTCAGTTCTCAGCTCCCAGTCCTCCAGTCTCAGAGAACTGGACCTGAGTAACAACAACCTGCAGGATTCAGGAGTGAAGCTTCTCTCTGCTGGACTGAAGAGTCCAAACTGCAACCTGGAAACTCTCAGGTAAAATGTTCTCAGTCCTGATGTAACCAGATTTCTGTCCATTACCTGCTATAAGATATTATGTAAATTTTATTTCAGTATCAGATTATAACATCAGTAGATGTCTGACTGTGATGAGGCTAATCATGCTAAGTCTTGACACATAAACTCAGCTGGTTTTCATTTATTCCAGGCTGAAAGAACCAAGAAGAGAGGAATGTAGAAAGATGGAGATCAGGCTTTAACTGTTAGTGTAACGCTGGACACTTGACAGATTGTTGCATCATCAGAGTGCAAAGAAAAATTGCAGATTCTTTCTACAACCAGTTGTTAGACTTTCTCATAAATTTTACAAATGACGCATTTTAATTTTTTTATTATCTACAAAATGAAATAGTTTTATTTCTATTTTATTTTATGAACAGGTGAATCTCCAGTTTCTTAAGTGTTTTCCTCACATTAAAATATCCAGTTCAGATCTTGGTCTCTACCTCAATGTTCTCATTTTCTCATCATGTGATGAATTGTGTGTCTGCAGCTTATCAGGCTGTTTGGTCTCAGAGGAAGGCTGTGCTTCTCTGGCCTCAGCTCTGACCTCCAACCCCTCCCATCTGAAAGAGTTGGACCTGAGCTACAATCATCCAGGAGACTCAGGAGTGAAGCTGCTGTCGGCTGGACTGAAGGATCCACACTGGAGACTGGAAGCTCTCAGGTATGGAACCTGCTGCAGGAGCAGAGAAGGTCTGATAGAGGAGGAAGAGGGAGAAATGTCTTTAGTCAGTCTGCTGGGAAACATTTAGGTTGAAGATTAAAATTTATTATGCTATTCAGTATCTGGCTTGTATTTATTACAGTTAAATTATAAATACTGCTGGTAATTTTGGCTGTGTAAGTTTGCAAACTACATCCAATTAAAAACTATAAGAATCTTCCACATGGTTCTGAATGAACCTGGGAAACCAACCCATCTACTGGAACCACAATAACATGGTATTCAGAGCAGCAGGGGGCCAAATATAGCTCCATGTGGAACCAAGAGGTTGGAGAGAGAAAATCAGTTGAAAACTGTTTCCTATCAGAGTTCAGTTTGTCTCTCTGTCTTCACAAACCAGGAGCATCATGGGCTGGGCGGGGCTTCCACTGATGGATCTACTGAGGAAATACAAGAAGCTGATTGGCTGATGGACAGGAAGTTAAAATATGAAGATTAATAACATCATAAATCAGATATTATTGGTGTTGTGTATACAGTTAGGGCCAGAAATATTTGGACAGTAACACAATATTTGTGAGTTGGGCTCTGCATGCCACCGCATTGGATTTGAAATGAAACCTCTACAACAGAATTCAAGTGCAGATTGTAACGTTTAATTTAAAGGGTTGAACAAAAATATGTGATAGAAAATGTAGGAATTGTACACATTTGTTTACAAACACTCCACATTTTAGGAGCTCAAAAGTAATTGGACATATAAACATAACCCAAACAAAAAAGTTTTTTCTCAATATTTTGTTGCGAATCCTTTGGAAGCAATCACTGCCTTAAGTCTGGAACCCATGGACATCACCAAACGCTGGGTTTCCCTCCTTCTTAATGCTTTGCCAGGCCTTTACAGCCGCAGCCTTCAGGTCTTGCTTGTTAGTGGGTCTTTCCGTCTGAAGTCTGGATTTGAGCAAGTGAAATGCATGCTCAATTGGGTTAAGATCTGGTGATTGACTTGGCCATTGCAGAATATTCCACCTTTTTGCTCTCATGAACTCCTGGGTAGCTTTGGCTGTATGCTTGGGGTCATTATCCATCTGTACTGTGAAGCGCCGTCCGATCAACTTTGCAGCATTTGGCTGAATCTGGGCTGACAGTATATCCCGGTACACTTCAGAATTCATCCGGCTACTCTTGTCTGCTGTTATGTCATCAATAAACACAAGTCACCCAGTGCCATTGAAAGCCATGCATGCCCATGCCATCACGTTGCCTCCACCATGTTTTACAGAGGATGTGGTGTGCCTTGGATCATGTGCCGTTCCCTTTCTTCTCCAAACTTTTTTCTTCCCATCATTCTGGTACAGGTTGATCTTTGTCTCATCTGTCCATAGAATACTTTTCCAGAACTGGGCTGGCTTCTTGAGGTGTTTTTGGGCAAATTTAACTCTGGCCTGTCTATTTTTGGAATTGATGGTTTGCATCTACATGTGAACCCTTTGTATTTGCTTTCATGGAGTCTTCTCTTTACTGTTGACTTAGAGACAGATACACCTACTTCCCTGAGAGTGTTCTGGACCTCAGTTGATGTTGTGAACGGGTTCTTCTTCACCAAAGAAAGTATGCGGCGATCATCCACCACCGTTGTCTTCCGTGGACACCCAGGCCTTTTGAGTTCCCAAGCTCACCAGTCAATTCCTTTTTCCTCAGAATGTACCAGACTGTTGATTTTGCTACTCCAAGCATGTCTGCTATCTCTCTGATGGATTTTTTCCTTTTTTTCAGCCTCAGGATGTTCTGCTTCACCTCAATTGAGAGCTCCTTTGACCGCATGTTGTCTGGTCACAGCAACAGTTTCCAAATGCAAAACCACACACCTGGAAACAACCCCAGACATTTTAACTACTTACTTGATTACAGGTTAATGAGGGAAAGGCCTTCTGAGTTACTTGCAGCCTTTGGAGTCCATTGTCCAATTACTTTTGGTCCCTTGAAAAAGAGGAGGCTCTGCATTACAGAGCTATGATTCCTAAACCCTTTCTCCGATTTGGATGTGGAAACTCTCATATTGCAGCTGGGAGTGTGCACTTTCAGCCCATATTATATATAAATTGTATTTCTGAACATATTTTTGTCAACAGTTAAAATAACAAAACCTGTGTCACTGTCCAAATATTTCTGGCCCTAACTGTAGATGTAGTGCTGGATCACATGGTGTTATTAGTGATTATAGATCAGCTGTTGCTCACCTGGTGACTTTAGTCAGTGATGATGGAGGAGGTTAGTTTTTACTGATCACTTTAAGCTTCAATGTTTTTATCTCTCATCTTTGTTTAAACCTGTTAATCTGGTTTTAATGCTTTTGGACACAAATATCTGTTATCCACTGATGTTCTGGATCTTTGATGATATTGAGGAAAATAAAATCATATTAACTGCAGCTTGGATTTAAGTTTTGATCAGAGATTTTGTTTGACAGTCGCTAATAATTAGTAATAAAGAGACATGGCTGAGAGCAATATACAGTCATATGAAGAAGTTTGGGCATCCCTATTAATCTAAATTATTTTCGTCTCTAAATATTTGGATGTTTGCAAGAACTATTTTAGTTTGATATAACCAATAACTTATGGACACAGTAACATTTCAATATTGAAATGAGGTTTATTGGACTAAAAGAAAATGTGCACTAAAACAATTCCAGTTCAGTTAAGTTTGATGTTCGCCGAGCATGGACAGCCCACTTCAAATCATCCCTCAGATGTTCAATAATATTCAGGTGTGGGGATCGGATGGCCGTTCCAGAACATTGTAATTGTTCCTCTGCATGAATGCCTGAGTAGATTTGGAGCGGTGTTTTGGATCATTGTCTTGCTGAAATATCCATCCCCGGCATAGCTTCAACTTCATAACTGATTCTTGAACATTAGTCTCAAGAATTTGTTGATATTGAGTGGAATCCATGCGACCCTCAACTTTAACAATATTCCCAGTACCAGCATTGGCCACACACCCCAAAGCATGATGGAACCTCCACCAAACTTCACAGTGGGTAGCAAGTGTTTTTCTTGGAACGCTGTGTTTTTTTGCCGCCATGCATAACGCCTTTTTTATGACCAAACAACTCAATCTTTGTTTCATCAGTCCACAGGACCTTATTCCAAAATGAAGCTGGCTTGTCCAAATGTGCTTTTGCAGACCTCAGCGACTCTGTTTGTGGCGTGCTTGCAGAAAAGGCTTTCGTCGCATCACTCTCCCATACAGCTTCTCTTTGTGCAAAGTGCGCTGAATTGTTGAACGATGCACAGTGACACCATCTGCAGCAAGATGATGCTGCAGGTCTTTGGAGGTGGTCTGTGGGTTGTCCTTCACAGTTCTCACCATTCTTCTTCTCTGCCTCTCTGATATTTTTCTTGGCCTGCCACTTCTGGGTTTAACATGTACTGTCCCTGTGCTCTTCCATTTCCTTACTATGTTCCTCACAGTGGAAACTGACAGTTTAAATCTCTGAGATTACTTTTTGTATCCTTCCCCTAAACAACTGTGTTGAACAATCTTTGTTTTCAGATCATTTGAGAGTTGTTTTGATGTGCCCATGATGCCACTCTTCATAGGAGATCCAGACTGGAGAACAACTTGCAATCGGCCACCTTAAATACCTTTTCTCATGATTGGATACACCTGAAGTTCAAGCTTAATGAGGTTGCCAAACTAATTTTGTGTTTCAGTAAGTCAGTGAAAAGTAGTTAGGAGTATTCAAATCAATTAAATGATAAGGGTACCCACATTTTTGCACCTGCCAAATTTTGTTTTTATGCATATGTAAATGCCCTGTAAAAGGGGGATATTTTAATAAAGAGCCGGACACGGTGCTTCTGCTCCAGCGATTATTATTATCAGAGGAGGAAGTTCCGGTGCTCTTCACTATAACTAGCGCAAGCGCTAGGCTCCCCCTGCTGGTGTCATCTGGCCACTGCTTTAACCAAATCAGCCTAGTCAGCCTCTGAGGTGACAAAATTTCAATCCATCACACATATTGTCCATTTTCTATTAGTACAATAAACCTCATTTTAGTACTGAAATATAACTGTGTACATCAGTTATTAACATATTAAACTGAGATAGCTGTTGCAAACACCCAAATATTTAGAAATAAAACTAATAAAGATTAATGGGGGAGCCCAAACTTTTTCATACGACTGTAGATTTTAGAATCAGTTTAAATGTTTCAGTGACAGGAAGAAAGAAACAAGAAACATAAATGGAGGAACTGATCAAGAAAGATATAATTATTATCAATACATGTAGTAACTTTAATGCATATGAAATATAATGGGATGGAAACAGAAAACTGAAAGTAACTGAAAGAGCAGAAGAACATTTAGAGATACGAACTGATTATGTTTGAATGATGGAAAAGAGACAAAAGATGTTGATGAAGGAAACGGATCAGTTCTTGATTTAACACTCGTGTTTAGGAAGATTTCAGCTGATTGTGGAAAATTCTTCTGACTAAGAACGTGAGGAGCCTGGAGCTAAATAGGAACTGGAAATAATAATGAATTTATTCTGATTCAACTTCTTCAAACTGTCACATCACTCATTCAGGAGTCTAAGGAGTTCAGCTGTTAGATTCCTATGATGATTTACTGAGGATAGAAACATTAAAACCATGTTGGATGGAGCTTCAGACCAATCAGCCTCCAAAGCAAAGAGGAAAGAAAAGCAGCTCCATGGTGATCAGATGGATGTTTAAAGATCTCAGAGTGAAATAAATAAATTCAGATTTAAAGCAAACCTCTCAACTTTAATGAATTTATGTTTTTAAAATATAAAACACATGAAAAAGTGAAGAAAACTATTCATAAGGCAAATAGATTTAGAAGTTTAGTAGATCCATCTATGTGGCAGTTTATCTCCACCAGGGGGCGACATCTGGAAAATGATCAAAAGTATGAATGAAATCAGGGAATAAAAGAATCCCTTGTTTTCCAGAAGGAAGGAAGAATTGAAGTGAATGATGGAAAAAGTAAAAAATGTAAAAATGAGAGCAGAAACTGGTTCAGATCAAAAGTTCTGATAAATTCACTAGGAAAGATAAAAAGACAAGATCAGCTCATCCAGAACTTCTGCAGTGGAGGGAGGATTACTTTCACAAGCCATTACTGCAGCTGCTGGGTTCAGGATGCTGCTTCTTCTTCTTGGGCTCATTGTAAATGTGTGCAGCGCCACCTGGTGATGCTGGTTGGTAGAGGAAGTGCTGAAAGAGACTGATGGTCTGACCCCCCTCCTCCTTTCAGGGTGGAGCCTGCTGGAGGCCGATTCTTGACTCCAGGTCTGAGGAAATGTAAGTGTGTTTTTCATCTGATTCATGACAACAAAGCAGCTCACATTCAACCATCTTCAAACTGTCACATCACTCATTCAGGAGTCAAAGTGTCAATAAATGATCAATAACTGCAGCTGGATTGTGTTTGTTCTCTCCAACAGATTCCCATCAACTCACCATCGACACAAACACAGTGAACAGAAACCTCAAACTGTCTGAAGACAACAGGAAGGTGACATGGGAGGAGCTTCAGTCATATCCTGATCATCCAGACAGATTTGATTTCTGGTATCAGCTGCTGTGTAGAACTGGTCTGACTGGTCGCTGTTACTTTGAGGTCGAGTGGAGAGGATATGTTAATATATCAGTGAGTTACAGAAGAATCAAGAGGAAAGGAGACAGCAGAGACTGTAGGTTTGGAGGAAACGATCATTCCTGGAGTCTGAGATGCTCTGATGATGTTGGTTTCTCTGTCTGGCACAATAACAGAGAAACTCGTCTCTCCTCCTCCTCTGTCTCTCACAGAGTAGCAGTGTATGTGAACTGTCCTGCTGGCATTCTGTCCTTCTACAGAGTCTCTGACTCACTGATCCTCCTCCACCCTTCAACACCACATTCACTGAACCTCTGATTCCTGGATTTGGAGTCTGGTCCAGTTCTGGTTCTTCAGTGTTTCTGAGCTGATTTGAGTCTAAAGAGTCTAAAGATTTTCATCCTGCTAGAAAATCTCACTGATTAAAAGATAGTTCAGTCTCTATATGTCTGTTTCATTCAGAAACATATTTTCATGGATCCAATCTGTGTCTTGGTTAAACTTTTCTACACAACCCGGGGATTATTCCAGGAATATTCCAGGATTATTCCAGGATTATAACTGGATCAACATGTTTTATCATTTTCCAGTCAAAAATTCACAATGAATCTCAGGATGTTTTTTTTCTCTCTTGATTTTTTACCTTTCATTTATCATCAGATTCTTTGAATTTACTGCAGTTTTTCTCAATCACTGAATATTTTTTGTTTCTGTTATCTCCTATATTTTTAAATTCATCTTGGATTCAGATGTTATTTTTTGTATATTTACTACAGTTCTATTTCATGTGTTTTATTGAACAATAAACACATTTTATTCATTTGCTGCTCATCCTGTTCTCTTCCTGTTTAAATGTCAGTAGATTATTTTTCAATTTCAACTCTGACTTGTAATTTATATTTAAACATTCCCATTTTGAAACATTTTAAAATACTTATTTATTTTTTCTTTCTTTCTTAAAAATGTTTTCTATGTTTCATAAGTTTCAATATAATCTCAACAATTTCCCCCTTTTTGAAGTATTTTCTATATGGAAATACATCAATCAAAGTTCACTACTGCAAATAAAAATTCTGATGGAACAGATTCATCATTGTACCTTAAAACAAATCCTTAGTATTCAATGCTAAGTTTTCTTTCTCCATTTCACTGTTCCAGGTATCTTTTATGCATGATAGATTATTTTTCTACATCCAACACCTTTAGTTTCGCTACTATTGTTACTGTTTTTATATTTGATCAATTATCCGAGTGTCTTCAAAGAATTGCTACCTATCATAACGTTTTGTCAAATTTCACAAGGTAGAACATTTCCTTTTATCCCCCAAAAGATGTTTTTCTAGTCGGTTCTTCTCCAAAATACTGTTCTCACTTTATTGAAAATTAGCCTTTCCAAAATTAAATCAAATCCCAAATTGTCCAATTTCCAAAAATGTGTCAATTTAACATCCATTAATCAATTAATCCTGGATTTAAAATTTCTAAGCCTCAGTCAGAAACCAGGTTACTTTATCCACACGTTCTTTTCTTTTCAAATCAAAGTAATTAGTTACTTTATTTTCTAATATCAAATGATTAATATGATCACTTTCTCAACTTCTGTGTACAATTTGTTTGCTCTTTTCATTTTATTTTCTGATTTTATTCTAATCACACAAAGTCATACTATGTAATCACAAACAAACAATAACACAACAAACAAAAACATAAAACATTTAGTCTCGTCTTGGTCAGTCACACAGTCAGTCTATTATCTACATTTTTCTTTCGCTCAAATTTGTTCAAAAATTTATTGAAGCTTCAAGTATTTTCCAAATGTTTTAGCATTTTTATATTTTCCTGTTTTTTAATTTAGTCTTCAATATTGTAATTACCATGTGCACATTCTAAAAAGATCACTAACTTTATTAGGGCCTTATAACAATTAGTAATTTCCTGCTGTTGAAACATGTCAGTTTCAATAAAATATAGATTAATTTCCTTTATTTTAGAATGATCTATTCCATTTTAGATGCATCAAAATACTTAAATACCACTGTCTCTATAATTTTCAACAATTTAAGTTCTCAACAAATTCCTTCATTAAGGAAATTCCTTAAATTTCAACTTACTTCCATAACCTAATAGTTTAAGACCTCTTTATTTCTTTATTTTATTTTCAGGATTGTTCTAATAAATTTGTTGTTGTTAATGTTTATCTTTATTAATTTCTTTACTATTTTGTTAAAGATCACTGCCCTTTTCTTAAAAGAAAACTTTCACAACAAACATTTATTTTTTAGGAAGATTTAAACCTTCAAGATGACTCTATTTTTTTCCAAAACACTTCACATTATAGTTTTAAAGTTCACATCATCTTACTCATTAATAATTTTTTGATTCGCAGAATTTTATGATGTTTTAACTCCCTTGCAAAACATAAATGGTTATAGATTCACTTCTCAACTTTCTTGATCTTTTGTTCTCAATATTCAGGGATCACTAGAACAACTTTTCAGAATGTATCCATTGTAGATCATTAAAAACATCTATTAATGCGTTCTTTGTTTATTTGATAATTCTTATATGAACAGATTAGCAAGCAAACAGTCTTGGCTGTGATCACAACATGTATAAAATATATTACCCTTAATATATTTTATATACTTTTCTTTGTTTTTGTATAGTTCTTAATTTACTTTTAGCTATCAGCTTTATTGCTGCATTTGTCTTTTCTCACCAACTTACAACCTCCCCACAGGAGATTCATAACCAGCACATTCCTAAGTTATTCTGATCTTATCACTAAAACTAACAAAACAGCGTTTTTCTCATCAAAGCATAAATTGAGACATTAAATTAGATAATGTCCTCTCAAAAGATCACAGTACCAAATTAGTATTTTCTTTACAGTTGTACATTAATATAAAAGTATATTTATTTTTACAAACTGTCCTAAAGAATTTTAACTAATGTTTGACAAGGTATGTTTACCGATTTTTTAGACCCAGCGTTTTGATGTTAAAAATTTACATTTAACATTTCCATATTATTTCATTAATCTCAATTTATTTGCTTGCTTAAACAATCCACTCTAAAAGAAAATGGTTCTTTGAACTTAGATTGGCCATAAAACAATTTTGCACCTCCTTCACAAACTTTCCCTCACCTTGTGAAAGGAAGTATTTCATGGCAGCAGGAAAATCTGCTGTTTCATTCAGATTTTAGCATTTATATCTCAAATTCATCTTTTAACTTAAATTGTTTAGAGTACTTCTGTTTACATTCTTTAACCTTTTATTATGCACTGATGTTTTGTCATCAGGACTTGTTCTCACCTTTATATGACAGCTTAAGATGTTGAACTGATGTTTAGATCTGCTATTCAAACTATTTTCTTTCTGTTGAACCAGCTGCAAGATCAGGGGAATAAGGCACAGCTACAACTTCTGCCTATTGTAGTTCCTATTGTGCCTATTGCCTGTTGTTCTCCCTGAACAGACCTGTTGCTTTGTCCCGCTTACTTTATTTTCAACATTATCTCCTGTTGATTTTGTATTTTTATGTTTATCCATAACACTGAGATCATAGCATTAACTTTCTGTCAATCATTTGTGTCCCAAATATTTCATCTTTCATCTGCACATTTGGAGTTTTGTTGTTGCTAACTTTGTAGTCTTCTTTAGCTAAATATTTCAAACAAGGCTAAAGTTTCCTTTTATTGGGGTCAATTTATTAAGTTCTAGTTCATAATTCTTTTTCTCTCATCCTGAAATTGTTTTGAAACACAGAGTTATCCTAAACTCTAAATGCAGCATTTCTCCAGTCTGCAATCAATGCTGAATCAGAGCTGAGTGGGGGTTTATTTGGGCAATCTAATCAATAATCACAGAACAGTTGTCCTGCTCTTTTGAGGACATCTGTTTTTCTCCTGACTTTTCTATTTAGTTTCATTTTTGTTTATTATATACCTAATTTATAATCACTTGTAATCATGTCACTACATTTTGATATCTTCAATTTCTTCAAATACTGTTTTTCCCATTAATCAATAAGTTATTTCAAACTTTAATACCCTTCTGACATCAAATCCTGTAAATTTTAGCAAACTTTCCTGTATTTAATCAATTTCTATTTATCCAGAGAGTTACCTCTAGTTTATCCTGTACTTTAATGATCAATAAGTCCTGTAGATCTAATAATATTGATCCATTTTAATAGAGTTTTGTTCATTGTTAAAAGAATGTTATTTATTAAGGGCTTCTCTCTCTGAAGTTCTGCTCTTCTTTTTATAATCAATTCATAAAATGTCCCTATTGTAATTTTTGTTTTTTATTTTATTCCTCCTTTTGACCTCATACAAAGTCCATCATGATGTTTCTCCTCATATTCTGGAGGTGAGGGCAACTCAGGGTATAATCTAGCACTCTGTTCAACATTCTTTTTAGATTTTTTCTCTCCAATCTCTCATCTTTGTGCTACTTCTAACCAAAATTTTACATCACACCCTTCTTTGTATATATATTTTTTTTTATTTGAATTTGTTTTTTGTTTTATTTTATCTTGCAGTAGAATTAATTTCTGTATGTTCAGACTGCCATCAAAATTATACTTTGTTATCCATTTATCTAAGTGTTTTATTTTACACGGATCCTGATCTTTAATGAACTTCTAGTCGTTTGATTTTAGACTGTCTATTGGATTAGTTTTACTTATCTCTTTCCCCATTTCTTAAAATTTTTAAATAAAATTTAGACCAGTTTCAGACTGATCCTTTGGACCTAGTCTGGTGAGGAGTAGCTGTATATTTTGGAGGTGCTCTTTTGATAGGTTGCAAAGGCACAGAGGATGTTGCTGCTGCTGCTGCTTCCTCTGGCTCTTGCATATCTCCTGCTTGCTCAATTAATCCCTGATAGGGTCCTGGCATAAATTCATCATCTTCCCTTCTATAAAACAACACTTTCTTTTCTTTCTCTTCACCTCTTTCTTTCTCTGCCTCTTGTTCTTTCTTTTTCTGCTCTTTTGCTCTTTTTTCCCCTTCTTCTCTCTTATTTGCCATTTTCAGCCACACTACTGTTGTTCATAACCTTCTTTATTCATCAGTTTTTCTTTGTCCTTACATTTTCTCTTATTTTCCTTCTCAATTCTGCAATGTTTGCAGTGTAAATTACCATTAAAGCCATATTTGTGTACCCAGTATGCCAGTTGTTCAACTGCTCATGGTTCTTGTTTCTCAACTACCTTCCAATCTTTACAAATTCAATCTTCTAGTTTTATTTCTTTTTTCCATTTTTAACTATGTTTTGGTCCAGTGTGGGGTAACACCTGGTGTGTTCTAACACTGGAATATTTTCAGCAAGATGGTGATAAAACTTCCTGTCTGTGGTAAAGTTCACTTCAACTCTTTTGAGTGGAACTTTCTTGCCTACATGCAGCCACAGAGGGTCACCATTTACTTCCTTGCTGTTTTGGTATGAAATCAAGTATCCAGTGATACTTAAATTTCCTTTCACTCTCACATACACACTCTGTTTTTTGTCACAGAATTGAAGCGCCTGTTTCGCTGGACTCCGCCGTCCATTTAAACACGGGTATTAGTCGGGCCCCGTTCTCACAACAGGTGGGGTTTGTAAGATCTCAAACCAGGTGAGGTTGCAAAATACGGAAGCAGGTGAAGTTTGCCAGTCTTCGTCCCAGTAGGGCTTTACAAGACCTCCAGCTAGGTAAGGTTTACAAAGCATTATTTTCTAGTTTTTTTATGATTTATTATTTTTTTCTTTTTATTTTTTATTTTTATCACTCTTTTATTTCTTCACTCTTTTATTTCTTCAAGCAGGGGACTCCGTCATCCCACGGACTTTAATTACTTCTATGAGTAAAGGACTCCGCCGTCCTCACAGAATTTAACTGCTTGTTTTAAGTTACCTGATAGTGTCTAGAATTGTCAGGGTTTTATTTCTTCACTTCTTACTCTCTATTTTATTGCAATATCCATCATTCACCACTTCTTTTTAAAAGAAATTCCTACTCACTGATATGTGTCAGTCTTCCCCTGGATGTCCACCAACCCCCCGGATCCCAGCCTGTGAGAAAGGACCAATCCCGGAAAGGGTCTTAGTGCTATGGCCACAGAAGACTGGCTGAGAAATATTCAATGACCTGAACAAGTTATGTCACAAGAATTTGAGACAATGTTGAGTTTTAATCAGACAGGAAAGCATCCAGGCCACTAGGGGGGGGAGTTTTCTGAGATTAAATTCAGGATTCTGATATTTTCATGTAAAAAGTGTGAATTAATATTTTCAAAAAGTCTGACATCTAGTTTTTTTTTGACAGGCTGAATTCTGGAAAAATTTTGAATTCTGAGATTAAAATTGAAATTTTGATAAATTTAAAAAAATGAATTGAATTGTTTTTTTTTCCAAAATAATTCTGAACTCAAAGAAATAATTAACATATGAGGAAAAACAGAAATTTTGAGATTGAAATTAGGATTGTGAGTCTAAAGGTGGAATTTTTGACATTTTCAGAAACATTTTTTAAAATTCTGGGGAAAAGCAAAAAATATTTTAGATTAATTAGCATTTTGAGATTAGTGGTAGGACTTTAATATTTAGAAAAAAAAGTCAGATTTCAGAGGAAAAGCCAACATTTTGAGATTAGATTAGATTGAACAGGATATTTTAGTGGCCATAATCTTCTTCCATATGATAAGTGTAATCCAATTCAACATTTACTCTCAGGTTTTCAATGAAAAAAAACACAAATATAAGTTCCAACTTCCACCATGTATTCTCTTGTTTTTTCTTATGGATACAATATCTTCTGCTTTACAGCAGGAATGTATTTAAAAGCAGTAACATATATTCAGTTCATTAGTTGAAATGAAAGTTGTGTTTCTGTTTCCTGCCAGCGTTCCAGCATTATGCTGCCATCAGCGACCTGACGCTGCCTAAAGCCCTGCAGTTGGAGCTGAAGGGAGACATCGAGGATTGCCTCATCGACATCGGTGGGAAGGCCTGTTACCAAAACTCATCAATCTCCCAACTAATAACATGATTAGTTATTAATGCTCTGAAATATGCAAAATATATTCATTTCTAAAGAAAATTTAACATTTTAAATATTCAGAATATTAGAAATAAAACGAAATATGATGAATTGCTCCCTCTAGTGGTGGTTCTAGATATGGCAGCATTTATAAATCCAATAATTTCCACATTTACATCCTAATCAAATGTTTGACTTTTCAATCTCAGAAAGTGTTTTACATTTTGAGTGTTTAACTTTTTTATTTTTTCAAGTTTTCAGACTAGAGTGTAAACTGAGAATTTCTCAAAATGTTCTGAAATTTATTTAAAAAGTTTAAAAACTAAAATTTCAGCATTTTTTGGTAGAAAAGTTTTGGAATTAATCTCAAAATTTTGAGTTTCTTCTATAAAAATTTTGACTTTTGGAGCTCAAAGATGTTTCTAAAAATTGTTTTTTTTAGCATGAATTTGCTATTTTTTCCTTATCTGCAATGGCCCTAATATGTTGTTTTACTCTTAGACTTGGATCCCAAACTGAACAGAAAATTGTTTATTTTTTGTTTTGACTCCATCAGAATCCTGCTGGTTTAAATGTTTCTCACCTTTTTGTTCATCTTGAAAAGTTTCTGGTTGAACTGAACCCTGAAGCTCCACAGCTGGGAGACACAGAAACATCTGGACTCTGTTATTTTTGTCTGTGACAGAGTTTTTATTTTCTGTTTCCTCTTTCATGTCCAGTGAAATGCGCCTGGAACACACCGGCTTTCTTTGCTGAGAAACTCAATCGGGCCATGAAGGTGAGTGAACGCGTCTGCTGCTCCTAATCCCACTAATAACATGGTTAAAATAGGGATTACTCTGGATTATTACGACTACAGTCTTCATATTTTACCATGTTTTAATAAACTCCTTAGTTTGGAGTGATATGGAAAGCCGTCTTAACATAAAATTGGTTTTTTTCTGTTTGTAATTAAATTCCAGATGTGTGAAAAATAGTTTTGTATGATGCCGTATTAATAGCAGTGGAGATAGAAAAAGGAAGAGAACACTAATGCTAAAAAGCTCAAAGTTTTAAAATCTCAGGAATGCTCTGAAAAAATAGTTAAAAATTGTGATTGAAAAGTGAAATATTTGCTGGAAAATCTCAAATTTTGACTTTAATCTCAGTAAATTGCTAGAAAATCTTTTGACATTTCTGAGTTTATAAAGTTCAAAATATGCAAGAAAATTTAAATTTTAAGATTCATCTAAAATGATAAAATTCTCTGAGGCTGAAAAGTTGAAAATTTGCTAGAAAAACTTCAGAAATGTTTAATTTAATCTCAGAATGTTGCAGAAAAAACAGAGATTTCTGAATTTGATCATTATAAACTTTGTTGGAAAAAACTGACATTATTTATAAATATCTCAGACATTTTCTAGAAAAAAATAGGGCAATAGAAAGTTGAAAATTTTAATTTTTACAAGAAATTCATTTACAACATGATATATGTTGTATGTAAAATAATCTGACAGTGAAACCACAAACTTTTTAAAAATATCAATATTAAGAAATTATTGACTTAAATCAAGCTCCTATATCTTTGATTTTTGAGCAAGATGTTGTTTTGTCTTATTTAAAGTGTTTCAAGACATTTGCACTAGAAATTAAACCAATACCACTTGGTAAGATTTTGAGTTTTTGCAGTGTAGAAAGGACCTTTTGGCAAACTATATTTCTAAGATTGTTGACAGTTTTTTATGCAACATACAGTTTTTGTTACATTAACATAACATAATAATTTAACTAAAAACTAAGATCCATGAAAAGGAATCAAAATGTCCAACTCAAACTTCTTGTGGCCCATTTTGTGCCTTACCAGGGCCACGGTACGAGGGATCACACTCTGATCCGGATCCTGGTGAGCCGCTCCAAGGTCGACCTGCAGAAGGTCGTAGAGGAGTACCGGGCAATGTTTGACAGAACCCTCCATGAGGACATCGTGGTAAAATACGTTTCCCAACTGTTTCTATGTTTTACGTTTCAAACCACATCAATAATGCTTTTTTATTTTTGTTTGAACAGAACGACACCAAAGGACATTATCAGAAAGTCCTGCTGGCTTTGTGCGGACCGTACTGAAAACCTGAAGACCTGAAAACCTGAAGACCTGAAAACCTGAAAACCTGAAGACCTGAAGACCTCAAGACCTGATAACCTGAAAACCTGAAGACCTGAAAACCTGAAGACCTGAAGACCTGAAGACCTGATAACCTGAAAACCGGAAAACCTGAAGACCTGAAAACCTGAAAACCTGAAGACCTGAAAACCTGAAGACCTGAAAACCTGAAGACCTGAAAACCTGAAAACCTGAAGACCTGAAGACCTGAAAACCAGAAAACCTGAAGACCTGAAGACCTGAAAACCTGAAGACCTGAAAACCTGAAGACCTGAAAACCAGAAAACCTGAAGACCTGAAAACCTCGACCTCTGAGGAAGCAAAAAATAAGTCAAATTTATGCTCTAATAAAGTTTTTCTTTCTATTTCTGTCTCTTTGTTTTATTGCTGCTAGTAGAAAAAATGTAAGCAGAAAAAAATACAGGAAGAATGAAAAACTTTGCTTGTTTACTTGTTTCAGTTTGAGATTATTTCTGGAAATTGTGATTAAATGGAGACGTGTCTGATCCAACATGCCTGCAGGAAGGACATTTTATAGTTTATACTGAGATTAATTGACACAAATTCAATAAAAATAACGTTTTAATCCCTAAGGGAAATTAAATGTTTTAACTGATATTATCTAAGGTTCTTCAGAGTTCACCAGAAATAGACAACCTTCACTTCCTCCACATGAATATGGTTTTTATTCACTATACAACAGACGTTTGATGCTTCTTTACAGTGTCTTGTTTTTTTCTGCAACTGTTTAAAAGTTATGAATCTCATTTGATTGAAAAAAACAAAACTTGTATCCCAGTTTCACATCTCCACTAAAACTTTGCTATTATGAGTCATAATAGTGATTTAGCCGAGCATAATTATGAGATAAAAGGCTTTACTTTCACTAGATCGACAGAAATTAGTTTCTTTAAAACGTTGCAATACATCTGTTGTACTAATGATTTAAAATACTGTTTTTAAACTCCAAAGATTAGTTTTTATTTGTACTTGATGTAACTGACAATTACCTGCCAAGGTGAACTGTGATTGTTTTTTTAGTACAGCAGAAAAAACACTTGAAGTATGTAGATGTAATTGTTTTAAATAGAATTTTATTACTGTCACTTACTTTGTTTTGCATTGTGAAAATGTTTTGGGTCAGCGACGGCAACAAAAAGTAAAAAGTAAAACAGAAATAATTGAACAATCAATTGAAAAAAAAAACAACAAAAAAAAACAATTAGCAGGTTTTCATTTTGCACAAACAAAATATAAAATGTTATGAAAATGTAACGTTTTAAGACAAATCAATAAATATATTAAAATACTAGAATTCCAGCACAGAGCATCTGATTAGATACAAGAGATATTGTTCAGAGTGAGACCTCTCGCCTCGCTGCAGCAAGCAGAAAGGGGCGGGGCTTGGCTCTGATAGAAGAAACTACAAATCAGGTAAGAAGTTCTGCAACATCTGTTACTTTCAGTTTGAATTCATGTTTAAGGTGTTTCCAGTCTGATTGTTGCTCAGATTTTCTTCGTCAACCATTTGGATCATTTGAACAAACAGTAAGTTTTATTTTTTATCCTTCTTGAACTTTGAGTTTAGGAACTTTCCTGCTAGTTTTTGCTCTCTGATGTTTAGAGAACATGTTCACTGCTTATTCAGATCCAAACATCCCATTTTCAAGGAGTCACTGGTTTCATCTTTCATTGTTCAGGTTCCTGAGTCAGAATCCAACCTCCTGTAAATCCTGGAGGTTGAATGTTCAGGTTCTCCTCCCAAACATCCAACAAGCTGCCAACTCAACAGGTTCTGGTTCTGATAACTTTTTATCAGTCATATTTGGATAATTTAAAAACCCTTCATCAATAATCAATAATCAGACGTCATTCAGGTTGTAGTTTCCCCACCAATGAAGAGTCCAGTTGGTTCCAAGTCAAAACAGGTTCTGGTTCCATTAGAGCTGAACAGAACCTGAATCAGAATAACAGCAGCAGAACATTTGTGTTCAAACTGAGAGTTATGAGTAGATTTTATGTCTTCAGACGTCAACAGATAAACTTTCATCTGACAGTTCTCAGTAAACCAGTCAAACCAGTTTCACCTCATTTCCACTGTTGGGTCTCAGTTTGTTGATCACATTTTCTTGTTCAACTCTTTGGATCGTCTGAACAAACTGTGAGTTTGCTTTGTTTTCTACATGAACTTTGTCTTCAGAAACTTTACAGCCAGTTTGTTATTTTTCTCTCTGATGTTTGGAGAAAATGTTCAGTTAGAAACAGCTAACTGAACATTAACATTAACATACTTCTTTAGAACAATTCTACAAACAACTGGACTTTAATTTCAGATCAAACTTTAATCTCTGTTGTTTGAAGGTTAATCTACAGGATTATTGATGAACTAGAATCAAAGAAGATGAACATTTGATGTTTTTGTTCTTGTCTGATCAAATTGATTCATGATTTTTCCCATTCCATCAAACTCTGGTCTCCACCATTAAAGACAAAAACAACAAGTTTTTCCTACTTTCATTCAAAAGGAAGTAGGACAAATGCTGCTATAGTAAGATGTGTTTAATTCGCATTACTTAATACTTAATCTTAATTGCATATAATCCACTTGTAGAGTTCAATAACTAATTAACTAAAATACTTCCTGTTCAGGTTGAATCAGTGAATGTAAATGTTGCTCCATGTCTCCATCTAGTGGACTGATAGTAGAAGTGCAGCAGCTGATGGCAGCTTCCTCTGCCTCTCTGCTGTCTGACTGCATTCACCTGACACTGATATGAAGCAGAGAAGAAGAGCCAATCAGAGGAGGAGCAGTGATCTTTTTCCAGCACTAATGATGTAAAGGATGATCAGAGTTGATGTGCAGATGAATGATGTGTGTTTCCTCTGCAGGTGAAGCTAGAAAGTGTGTGTGAGCTGATGTGGATTCAGCAGCATGGATCAGTGTGAGGACAGAGAGGAGGGAGTCCCTCCCTCTAAAACCACTCTGTGTGGGGAAGATGAGAGCCAGAGCAAAGGTCAGAGGTGAGGTCACCATCTCTAACTGTCCACAGCCCTTTCACACAGCGTTCACTATATCAGGCCAGAACAGACGTGGTGATGAAGCTGCTGCTGCTCCTCTTTGCTGATTAAGTTTAATCATTATGTTTCTGTTAGGATCCATCAGAAACGCAAACCAGAACCAGAACCCAGCTGTGTGTCCTTTAAGAGTGACAGGTCAAAGGGTGACATAATTTACTTTAAATCTCCTGGATCTCCACCATCAGAGAGGTGAGCTGTTTCTATCTGCTGTAACTTCTGTTTATATCTGTTATTGTGGCCATGTGATGATAAGTTCTGTTGGGTTCTGTTGTCATAAAAACATTGGACTGAATATCAGGTTATTTTCTTTTAACTTGTCACATCAATACATTGATGTCTCCATGTTAACATGGTTCAATAATCAACTTAGGAACTTTGTATCATGGACTTTATTGGTCTCTATAAGAGCCAAATATGTGTATTTTGGGTTTTTGGTAACTAGATGTGACAATGGCCTCCAGTATAAGAACCAAGAGCTGATAGGTGTTGAACCCAGAAGGCCATACAAGTTACTGACTGCTGTGGTGGAGTCATTGTTAATGCTGTTGTCATGTTTACTGGGGGCTGCACAGTGGCACAGTTGGTAGCACTGTTGCCTTGCAGCAAGAAGGTCCTGGGTCCAATTCCTGGCTCGGGCTCTTTCTGCAAGGAGTTTGCTTGTTCTGTTCGTGCGTGTGTTCTTTGCGGGTTCTCCGGCTTCCTCCCACAGTCCAAAAACATGACTGTCAGGTTGATTCTCCTTAGGTGTGAGTTTTGTGTGTGCATGGTTGTTTGTCCTGTTTGTCTCTCTGTGTTGCCCTGTGACAGACTGGCAACCTGTCCAGCTGTAGATAGGCACCAGCACCTCCCGACCCCGTTAGGGAGAAGGGTGATGGAAAATGGATGGATGGATGTTTACTGGATTAATTGGATTTTGTTCACAAATGGTTTCATCTGACTGGAATAAATTTGAATTTGAACAACTAAGGCAACCTCTGGGATTGACTTTACATGCAATGAATAAGTACAACGTTAGCAGCTCAGTTCGTCTTAAAAAAGCCGCAACAGATAAAAGCTTAACACAATATTAAACTGGCTACTAGAGTCTCCAATGGCTGCAATGAAGTCCAACTATTGTTGGTAAATTAATAAAAGATGTTTGGAGTATTAATCAGGTCCATTTAGATCCACAGTCTCTATCCATAGCTTTTCCAGGTCCATCTAGTTAACATAGGTCTAGAAATCCCATCTGATTTCCAGATGTTTCCCTGATATTAAATAAACAATCATTCATGTAGTGATAATCCTCTCTAGAGGCCAACAGAACTAAAACATTACTGCTGATGAATAACAGGAAACAAAATATCCAACCAGAATAAACTCACTTTTCTGCTTTAACCTCTAAAATATATAAAATAAAGAACAAGAAAATCCTCAATCAGGACATAAACTATAATGTTGACATGACCTTTGAACCACACATTTAACGGCATTTTATTCTGTTTTGCATCAACTTAATTTTTCCAAATGAAACAGTCACATTAATTTACACAAATATTATTATTATCACATAAACAAAAAGCCAGAAGAGAATTTAATGTCTAGGTTGATATTAATATTGTTGTCTAAATCTGATGAATGATTAATGTTGAAAGAAAAAAGTTTACATGGATTTTGTGATTCCTATTTCAAGCATCACCCAAAATCTCAGAAACAAATATTTCTGCTCTTTAAACAAGACGGACATTATTTAGGAGGTCAATGATCAGGAACATGTTGGAGGATTGGACCGGTTCTGATAGGAATCATTTAGAACATGAAGTTGATAAAGTTCTGTTGTGTCTCAAATCTCTTTATTTTACAAGGAGTCAAAATAAAAATTATGTTCAAACTAAACCTTCACAAAAAGTTTATAGTAGATGTTTTTCTATCAGGATCCATCAGCGAATAAAACCAGAACCAGAACCCAGCTGTGTGTCCTTTAAGAGTCACAGGTCAAAGGGTCATATCATGGACTTTAAATCTGCTGGATCTCCACCATCAGAGAGGTGAGCTGTTTCTAACTGCTGTAACTTCTGTTTATATCTGTTATTGTGGCCATGTGATGATAAGTTCTGTTGGGTTCTGTTGTCATGGGAACATTAAATTGAATACCAGGTTATTTTCTTTTAATCTGTCACATCAATACATTGATGTCTCTATGCTTATATTGTTCAATAATCAACTTAAGAACTTTGTATCA